TATTGGTTTTGTCCTTTTGCAAAAATCTTTTCCCATTCTGGATCTGATAGATGCTTATCATAAACTATTTCCCCCTGTGGGTTTTTTTTTTCCTATTTTCAACTCTTTTTTTTCTTCTTCACTATTTTTTTTAAAAAAACTATTATTAGAGTGGGTGGCTTTCATATCCCACTCTCATCCTTTCGGGCATTTGTTTGTTTGTTTTTATGTGTATGGATGTTTTGCCCCCGTGTATGTATGTGCACCAGATGCTTACAGTGTCCCTGGGACCAGAAGAGGGAGTCAGACTCGCTGGGACTCGAGATAGACACTTGAGCTGCCATGTGGGTGCGGGGAATTGAATCCTGCTTTCCTGGAAGAGCAGCGGTGTTCTTAAACACAGAGCCATCTCTCCAGTTCCTTCACTGTTGTTTTTGTTTTGAGACAGGTTCTCACTAGACAGCGCTAGATGGCCTGAAACTCACCATGTAGACCAAGCTAGCCTCGGAATTACTGAGATCTGTCTGCCTATGCCTTCTGAGGGCTGGGATTAAAGTCATGTGTCAACACACTTAGCTACCTTCAACTCTTTTTAAATATAATTTATTTATTTAAATTTCATTTACATTCCAACCATAATTCTCCCTTCCAACCCTCTTCCTACCCCCCACTTGATTCCTCCTAGCCCACCCCGCAACCTGTCCACTCCTCACAGGTAAGGGCTCCCATGAGGAGTCAATAAAATCTGGCACATTAAGTTGAGGCAGGGCCAAGTCCCTCTCGAATGCATTAGGGCTGAGCATGGCATCCCATCATATGGAATGGGCTCCAACAAGCTGAGGGCACTGCCAGGGGCCCTCAGATAGTCCAAGCTTCACAACTGTCTCCCACATATGGAGGGCCTAGTTCAGTCCCCGGGAGTTTCCACAGCTGTCTGTTCATAAGTTTCCATGAGCTTGGTTCAGCTTTCTCTCTAGATTTCTCCATCATGGTCTTTATCTCCCTTATTCATGTAATCCCTCCTCCCTCTCTTTGACTGGATTCCCAGAGCTCTACCTGGTGCTTGGTTGTGGATTTTTGCATCTTTGTTCCATCAATTACTGGAAGAAGGCTCTATGATGATACTTGGGGTATTCATCAATCTGGTTCCCAGGGTACATCAGTTCAGGCATCCTCTCTACTATTCCAAGATCCTTTTCTGGAATCATCCTTGTGGATTCTTAGGAATTACCCTAGCACCAGTTTTCTCCCAAACCCCATAGTGACTCTCTCTGTTAAGATATTTCTTTCATTGCTCTTCCACTCCATCCCTGCCTACCATCATCCTGTTCCCTCATGTTCTCATCCCTTCTTCCCACACTCCTCCACTGCTGCTAGGAATGTAAACTTACACAGCCACTCTGGAAATCAGTATGACTGTTTCTCAGAAAACTGGGAATTAATTACCTCAAGACCCAGCAATAGCACTCTTGGGCATATACCCAAAGGAAGCTCAATCATACCACAAGGACATTTGCTCAACTAGATGCCCCTCAACTGAAGAATGGATAAAGAAAATGTGTTACATTTATACAATGGAGGACCACGTAGCTGTAGGAAACAATGGAATCATGAAATTTGCAGGCAAATGGAAGGAACTAGAAAAAAACAACCTGAGTGAGGTAACCCATGCTCAGAAAGATAAGCATGGTATGTATTCACTCGTAAGTGGACATTAGATGTAAAGCAAATGATAACCAGATTACAACCCACAGTTCCAGAGAAGCTAGGTAACAAAGAAGACCCTAAGAGAGATGCATGGATCACCCTAGGAGGATCTCCTGGGTAAACTGGGGGTGGGAGGGGCAGTCCCTTCAACTCTTAATTCATACTTTAGTTTAGAAAGATTTAAATTCACATTTCCCATGCTAAAAAAAGCCCCATAATAATTTTTTGTTGAATTGCAGTTCACTTTTAATTTATGCCCCATAGCTTCACCTGTTGATTTTTATTTTGGTAGTACATTTATCGTTATCATCATCCTTTAGCTTATCCATCTTCCAGCTTGAAAATGTTGCTTTCCTCCACAAATTCTTATGTACAAAGCAGTGGAAAACACTTTAAACCATTGTATCAATAGTTTCCTAAGGACAGGGACAGAGCATGGACTGTTCTCTCTCTCTCTCCCTCTCTGTCTCTCTGTCTCTCTCTCTCTCTTGGTCTGCCTCTGTCTTTCTCTGTCTCTCTGTCTCTGTCTCTGTCTCTGTCTCTCTGTCTCTCTGTCTCTCTCTCTCTCTCTCTCTCTCTCTCTCTCTCTCTCTCTCTCTCTCACACACACACACACACACACACACACACACACACACACACTGCATATTATCACTTTTTAAAGGCCTATATAGTGATGTTTAGAGAACATGGCCATGAAACAAATGGCAAAAACAGAAAAAAAAATAGCACACTTCTCTGGTTTAGAGGGTGGCTATGCGGTCCAAGTATATTAGTGGGGTGAAGTTTTGAAAGTGTAACCTTTTTGTCAATACTTAACTTTTGGTGATTCTGGGTGCTGTGATTCCCACACTTGCTATAGAAGGCTGCTGCATACTCAGTCTTAGGTCTGTGGCCCTGTGGAGAGCTGTGAGCATGACTTGAAGGGGGTACGAATTCAGAATAAGCAGCAGTATTGCATGTTACTAGCTTGACAAGAAGCCTGCCCCATGCCGGCCTCCTATTTCCACCCTCACCCTACCCTTGGAAGGAGTGCGAAGGATGCTATGTCCTCTGTGTTTGATTCACAAAGATGTGTTGATCTCAGATGACATCTTGTTGGTAACCTCACAAGGTACATGATTATTCAAGTCATGGCATTTGGAACGTATCAAGATCTTTCTGTCAGTTACCACACGTATTACTATTTTCTAAAAGGAGTACAAAGTGTCCTGACTATAGACAATGTTCTGACTCATTTAATCACAGACAATGGATAAAATTCTTAGGAGATTAGAAATATTTTTACTATGAGAGTTAGACTGAGTAGTCTTATATGTGATTTTTGCCTGTCTGATGATCTCTGTCATACAAGTCCCCTGGAGTGGGATGGCTGGATCATGTAACTCATCAGATAGCCCACTCTTGCTAGCAGTCTGCAGGCGCTTATAGCCAGGCCTTGCTGGTAAGACATGATGAATGCAGGAACAAGCTCTCTCTTAATGTTTGTGTTAAGTGCAAGAACAAGAACTGTGTGCGTGACAGAAATCAAGCCCATTGCTCAGAAATTCTGATGGAAAAAATACAAACCAAGTGTACCTTCCTGAAAAAAGTCAATATAACAGTAACTGATTTATTTTTCTTATAGATGGTCACATGTCAGTCTAAAGGATAAATTCATTATTTTATTTTTGGATAAAGATAATACAATAGCTTGCTACTTCTCTAGCTAGATTAATTTAGGGGGCACTGTATAGTGTAACTTTGGAGTTTGCCTTTCTGATTACATTGTTAGAAATGGCATCCTATGAACGTGCTATGTGTGTCTTACCACCCCTGACTTTGTTTTGTACTAAGTTTTGCATTTTGGTGTCACTTGTGTTTGGATAACTCAGAAATGATCTGTGAACGTGTTGGTAATAATGCTTTTATGAGATGTGAAGAATGCTGTAAGAGATACTAATTTATTACAAAATCCACTATCTGTACCTGCAACAAGATTGTAATTGTTTACTGTAGAAATTTTAGGAAGCCTGTATTTGTCATTAGTGTGGTACAGATGGCAGACTGCTGAAACCCAGGCTGTACCCCTGGCTAAATCAAGTCACACCACTTGGAGAATCATTTCCATTTTTTCAAATTGTAAACTAGAGCATATGCACAGAAGTTCTTAGTAGGTTCATCAGTGGACCCTTATCACAAATATTCAGCCAGGGGTGGGGTGGGGTGGGATGGGGTGGGATGGGAGCAAGCCAGGAGGATCTCTGTGAGTTCAAGGCCAGGATGGTCCACATAATGCTGTTGCATAAAAAAAAAAATGACACAGAGACAGATATTGGGATTCAAACAAAATATCAGGAAAGCAAAGCAGCCAAACTACCAGAGAGCTCTTACCTCTAGCAGGGCTGGGGTGTTCCTATTCTCAGAGTGGCTGGAGTATGAGTGTGCCTATCAGTGTAATTGGAGAATGAATACCTGATACTGAGACCTTGCTCCTGTCTTACATACCTCCTTAATGCTGGGATTAAAGGCGTGTGATCCCAGGTGCTGAGATCATCTTTGTGTGAGCTGTTTGTCTTTAGGACTAAGTCAATCTTGTAGAGATTAGGTGGCCTTGGACTCACAGAGATCTGTCTACCTCTTAATCCTAAATCACAGGATTAAAGTTGTGTACCACCACCTCCTAGTTTGTGGCTGCTGAGTTTAAAGGTGTGTGCCGGGCTTCTATGGCTGTGGCTGACTTTGCTTTCTGAATCTTCAGACAAGCTTTAATAAATAATAAATTATGTATCACTACATAATGGGTTCAAGGCCAGCTAGGATTACACAGAGAGATCCTGTCTCAAAACAAGCAAACAAGCAAATCATATAATTTCTGTTGTAAAGTAACTCTTATGGAAAAGGCATGGAGTTACATATCTCCTACAGTAAGAAGGCTTAACCAGTCACAGACACAGCAGGGAGAAGAAACTGGCTCAGGAGTGAATCAGAGTCTGGAGGGCTGGAATGAGGTAGCTGTTCTGTTTCTCTTACTTTCCATGCTATTTTAGTCCTACTTAAAATCAACATGGATGAGAGGGAGGTTACTGTTCTTCAGCCTAAGGGCATGGGAGGAAATGAGGCCCTGCATGCTCATACCTACTGAAGTTATACAGTAATTCCTGTGTTCTGCAATGGCTTTGGAGCATTCTCATTGAAAAGCTGGATATTCAACGGGACACATGTGAAATAAATTAGATTTAAAGGGGGCCAATTATATCTGCTCCTATTATATTGTATTCCCTATTGTCTTTGCTGGCTGGTTGTTGACAATGGATTTATTTTTGATCAAATAGATTGAGGAGCTGAGTGAAATAGAATACATTGAAAATCTTCCTATGCTTCGAGTTCTCAATCTACTAAAGAATCCAATTCAGGTAAGAGTTTATTTCTCTCAAGGGTAGGGTGGGGAGGGGAGCAAGGACCAGTCTTGGAATTCCTGTTCAGTCTGTGCTTTTAATGGGGGGGGGCATCAGGAATGTAAATGCAGCCCCCTCCCCCACCTCTCTGAAAATAATTAGAACACCTACATGAACTAACATTTCAAACAGCTTGCTTTTAGAGAAGTCTGATTGTCTTTCATGGTCAACAAACTATCAACTGCCCCAAGTCCAATAAAGCCTGCAGTTGAAAGTCACTTACCTGGTCCTTTAAGACAAATGATGGATGGAGCTTAACATTACAACAGAGAATGAATAGTAAGATTGTAAAGCAGTGTCCTTTCCTATCAGAGGATAAAGAGCCCAGAGGTCCACACAGAATGTAGTTCCTATTTTATAACAGGAGAGGTGGTGTTAGTGTGGATGCCTAAAGTAATTTGCTTTGATATAGCCATTGGCTATAAAATAACTACAGACTAAAATAACACAGTCCCTAGAGGTTTATTGTAGGGAGAAACCCTGATTAGAGGTACCGTTGACCACACCCACTTGGTCTCTCTCTCTCTCTCTCTCTCTCTCTCTCTCTCTCTCTCTCTCTCTCTCTCTCTCTCTGCTGAGCTGACTGGGAAGCATTTCTGGGTCAGTCCTGCTCAGATGCAAACCTGGTCACTGGTTCGCTTGTGTGAGTATTTTCCCCCAATGAACTACCAGTTATTAAGCTATCTCTGACTGCACTTTGTAATCATCAGTATCTTGTAACCTTTGAGATCTAAGGATCGGGGACAGTCTTCCAGGCTTCTCTTCCCCTCCATTGCTAAAGCTCTTCTTCCCGTTCTTCTTCCCGCCCCTTTCCTTCACCCATATTCTCCCCTTTTGCCTCCTCAGAGTCCTGACTATGTAAGCAAGCTTCTCTTATGTTCATCATGTGTATATCTTGATGAATATAGCTAGACAAGTGAAAATATCAGATCAGAAACAAAAAAAAGAAATATTGAAAAATAAAAGCAGATAGGGGACAGGGGCTGGCAAGGTAAAGGCCTTTTGGGGGCAGGAAGGAGTGAGGTCTGAAGTGGCCACCACAGGCAGACACCAGCCCTTGGGGAGGGTTCTGCATCTGCACAAGCCCCTCACGCAGGTGAAGTCACTTATAAACAAACACTCACAGCACTTACACTTTGAAGTGTACAAGAGAAGCTTAAAATGCTTTAGTTGGTGTGTAATGATCATCCGGGTCTCTGGGGTGCAGTTCGCCCACGCATTCAACAGGATCGTTAGCAGTCCAGCTCCTGTGTTTCGTGTTGGGACCGCAAGTAAAGATTCTCCTATACATTATATTTACTTCTCTTGAGTTTCTATCAATGAAAGGCATCTTACACCTACCTGTATCTTGCTATTCAAGGAAATGAAGCATCTTATACCCCCCCCCCCCGTTACCACTTTAAAGTCAGGCAATCCTAACAGTTGGCAGGGAGCAAAGAGGAATTTGTTCATAGGCAAGTATCATTTTATTATTGTAAGGCAAGTTCATAATGAGTGATCCCATCTAATACAAAAGAACACAATAAATACTAAGCCCATGATGAAATAATAAGAAGTAGTCAAATGTCATTATTTTCAGTAATGAGACTCTGGTATTAGAAGAGAAGGGGTTGGTGTCTTAGATGAGCTGCCCCAGATCTTCAAGGCTCAGCTTCTACCCCAGAGGATAATCTCACCACCCTGCTTATCTTATGGGGAGAATTAGGAGATGGAACATTTGAAGAGCTTTATGAATTATAGGACACGTCCTGCACCTTGGTTGTTACTTTAAAGGTGCTGGTGAGCATGAAAATGCAGAGCCCTGTATATGTGTGTATGTGTGCACATGTGTGATGGGGGGAAGGGTCATGGCAGCAGGTCTTGAAAGGTCCAGATAGACTAGAAAGTCCCCGGAAGTGGGTTGGTGTTTGCTGACCTGGGGAAGAGGAAAGCCACTGAATAGTCCTCTTGTTTTTAATAGGAAAAATCTGAATACTGGTTATTTGTAATATTTATGCTGCTGCGACTGACAGAATTAGATCAGCAGAAGATTAGAGTGGAAGAAAAGGTATGTAATCACGTTGCTTCATGTGTTTTCTGGTTAATGTGCTCAAAAATGTCATGCTGCTTGTAGCAGGAATCGTGTAACCAATCATCGAGAAGCATGCGGTATGCAAATGAATTCTTTATGTGGGAGCAGTTTCCTTGTCCTAGGACTCCTCAGTTGAGGCCTCAGTTCAGCTGGGTATTAACACATGCAGTGCTCCATGGGTACAGTGGGAAGTCTGACAGTGAGGAGTACCGGCGTCCTCTCCTGCTGCCCATTCCCGGTTGTGGCTGACAATGGTATACATAGCTTCCCTATCTAATCACAGAGTCTGAAATTCCATCTATGTGATTTTGAAAATTAACAATGAAATGGATCGTGTCACTCAATGTAATCAAAAAGTGCTCAAATCACTACTCTGATGTTGTAGCTTCTTCTGCTCTTTACAATGGTTCAAGAGGTGTGGG